GAAAACGAAATATATCACTGAAAATATTTGAAAAACGCAACGATATGAGTTTTGTAAGATTTCTACGAAAAATTGCGAATCGATCATTTCTTTCAATTGCACTATTATTTAATTACACTTCGAAGAATGACGAACTGCTAAATAACGAGCTGTATTTTTATCTCACTCTGACCAGCATCTTTTTAATAAAATTAAACGACAATGATAACAAGACCTAATCAATATATCCAATGCAGAGCTAGAATAAAAAGAAAAAAAACTTGCAAAAAAAGTTCTGACATTTCTGAAACAAGGAACGATCTACGAGCAGATTCTACAATTTGCATGATTAATGACCATATATACGATGAATTTAACCTCTCGATGTAACTGAATAAATTTACTGATAATTGAAATAATTACATACTTGAGACTAGAGATTCCGATATTTTGGAAAAACAAGACATACGATATAGAAAAATAACATCAGATACTAATGCTCGCTAGTGTGAGAACAGTTTACCTGATTGAATTCTATTCGTCGAGAGTAAAGGAATGAAAAGAAAAACGTTGAAGAACGACGACCGTTAGATTACATTTAAGTTAATGATCAGAAGCTGCGGAGAATAATTAATACGCCGTCGAGTAACTTCCACAATACTATCTGCCGAGAAGCATAACTGTCAAACTTGATTCACTCGTGCACTCGAAACAGAAAGAAAATGTTAAATTCTATGCAGAAATAAGAGATACCAATTTACATTTCACACGATAATAATTTTAAATCCGAAATCATTTGTAATCATTGATAATGGTTGGCTTCAATTCATGGATTCACCCCACCCAAAAACAATTGGTTAAACTGCATCACGATAGCATTATAAACGTTCTAGAATTTCAACGCAATCGTTCGAACAAAAATATTGTGATAGAAATTTCTTCAATTTTGTTCGATCGTGACAAATTTCCACCGAAAGTTTCTCAAATTATTGTACATACGTACAAACAAGTTTAAATTTATTACTCGAACCATTACTACTGTATTCCAGTGACAGAGGTTTTCCGAATGAGAAGCTTCAAAAGAGGGAAAGGGCTGGTCGAGTAATCACGGTTTTCGGACGAACTCGCTAATGAATCGATGGACCAACGACGGTCTCGAAACTCGATTAAATTCGCCTAAAGCGGCCTGTCGCCTAACGACCGGGGAATCAAACCGTCGTTTTCTTCTCCCTACGAACGTATCCACGGTTCAAACGATACGTTCTAACCTTGATTCGGTGAACTTCCTCGATATTTGACACGCGAGGCGGGAGTCAAACATTTTTGCAAGGATACGCGCCAAATCTTTTCTAGGTCATTCCGCAGGGACAGGATGTGCACCGGACCACAGCTGATTTTACTAGCCGAACCGAAGAAAAATTTACGATGCCAATATGGTTACAGCGACGAGCGTAGAAAACTAGGAATTTCAAAGTGAAACCGGGAATCTACTTACCGAGACCGATCACTGACAATTCACCGCGGAACTGAGCGCGAACTCGTCACACAGAAATCACAGCACTGACACCACGCCAAAACAGCCCCTGCGAACGACTGATTTTTATCGAACTGGCCGCGGCGAAATGCAGCTCGCACAGCCACATTGCCATCTTCCTGCGACTTGCGAAACCATTTCACGTCCATCGAACAGCGCGACACGACGCCACGCGATCCTTCCAATTTTTTCTGCGCATGCCTCGATATTCTTGAAATTTAACCTGTTAGAAAATAAAATTCAATTCGTCATTTAAATTGCTAATTTTTTTTTAATATAACAGTTGATTCTACGTCTTATTTTTTTTTTTTGTAAAAATTAGCCCTAACCCAACTATAAAACCAACTTGGGTGAAAACAAATTTAACTATGTATTTTAGCTAAAATATTAAATTAAAGATTAAAAAGGACAAATTAATTCCAACGAGATCTATAAATAAAGGAATTATTTCATTCTTTTCTTAGCTGTATGTGACAAATAATGCACTGGAAAATGATTGGTGTATGCACAAACATTGATACAGGTGTATAGAAAAGAATAAAAGAAAGAATTTATTACAATTGCAATGAAAAATTACCTTTTATAGATATATAAAATTTTATTCCTTTTTTTTATTGAAAATTCTTCAGTTACTCTTTAAATGTAACGCGGATAATTTTAGAACGTGGTCGTAGAAGGAACAAGTAGTTATTAAAAATGCATTCTGCGTTTCTTTCTCAAGTATTTGTTCTGATATTTCTTTGCTATTCAAAAAACACCAATCGCACCCATATGCTATACTTTCGTGTTCGTTATATTCGTCAACAACAGACGGTATTCCTGTATTTTCGCAATCGACGATTCTAAATCCACCATACATGCAAGCTGCTAACAAATGTTTACGTTCGAAGGGATCCCATTTCAAACGCCAAACACCGCCACCGAGATTAATGTCTGAAATTGGCTGTCTCAACTTTCTCGTGTCCCATAATCTCAATATTTCATCGTAACTGAAACATCATGAGAATTTTATTGCAAATGAGTTCAGATGAAAACGCTTTTGCTGTACTCGAATACAGCACCTTCCAGATGATACTAAAAATTCTCTCGTTGCGTTACTATGAATACTGGTAACACCTGCGCCATGAACTTTATTTGAAGCACAAATTCCGACTCTCGTATCGATACATTGAAATTTACAGTCATCACCACCTTAAACATATACAATATAATTATTAATGTTTTTTTTTTAAATAAGTTTCAATTTCACTTAGTTTCATACCGCTGTATATCATATTTGTGTCCCAATAGTCAAAAGCTGCGATCCACGCTTCGAATCCATGCGCAGACCATGAATTAATTTTATTAAGTTCATTTTCATTTAATTCGAACAATGATACGAAACCTTTCGAATCGCTAACCACTATTTTTAAATTAATTTCATTGACCAATCTTCCGGTGCACCAATCTAAAGATAATGCAAGTACCTCATCTTTATCAGCAATTCTCTTTTGTATTAATAAGTCCAAGCTTTTGTTTTCATCGTCATTCTTAAGTTGATAAATTTGTAAGTACCCTAAAGAGTTTGCAACACCGAGCAAGATTTTATTTTGAAATGTAACAGGCGCCCATTTCATGTCCAATACAGCAGGTACTTCTAATACTTGCAGCAACACTAAACGTCCGTTTCGTACAGTTTGAAATAAATAAATTCTTCCTAAACGTTTTGACGAAACGTTTGACGTTAAATTTTCTTTCATTAATTGATACGTTCCACAAACAAATATATCTCTGGAGAAATCTATCGGGCACCATTCAACCGAATCGGCACAAAATTCTGTATCGAAAATATCCAAAGTATGGAACATACTTGACTTTGCGTAATCTGTAACACGAAATGAAAGTGAATTTAAAGTTCTCAGGCATTTTAAGTTCTAAATTACAAAGATTATCTTATGGGAAGCATCGTGGGTTTCACATGAAAAAATCTTTATTTATATAAATGTTACAATTAATGAAAATCATATATAAATACGATGTACAATATATTTAAATTATTACAAATTCAGAATTTTTAAACTTGCACACAATTACATTTGCATATTGCTATTTTCAATTAAATTTATTATTGTTACTTTGTATTAAAGATAAGGATTAATCTGAAGACATTTGATATGACGTTAATTTCAGTTAAATATTAATAAACGCTTTCAATGAACATTTGTGAAAAACTCTATTGATCTATCCATTTGTATTAAAAACTTCACATACATATAACTTGTACTTTTTGATTTGAGTGTGTTGCCATTGAGATCATATCATAATTAATTTTTAGGAACAAGATATGATCGTCATTTCTTATAGATAATAAATTCATATACCTGTGAGCATTTATATGTATAGGAACTTTTCATCTTCTCACTTTAAATACATCCATAATATGTAGTCATTTAAGTATATCACGATATAATTATAGAAATCTTATCCTAAATATATACTGTTGAGATTTAATACTATATTGGTTCTTCGTAACTTGGTTTCATCAGTTCCTATTTACCGTCATTGTATTTGAGTATAATATAATTTGTACTATCAATAATGAAATTTAAAATTTCACTTTGAAATTATCATATGGAATTAATGGCACCTATTCCTTACTTTTAACTCTGATAAAATGTGTTACTAGATATATTTTAATAATCAGTCGTTATCATTAGTGGTCATATATAAAAGAATAATTTTTGTAGAATACTATGTATTCATTATTTAAAATTAACATCCTAACACTTGTAATTAATAAACTACTTTCATTGTACTCTCTTTGGTGGTGTAAAAACAAATAAATAATTTTTTACCATATAAAATAAATACATAATGAATACATTATTGCGTATATATCATTACGTATATATAGTATAAAAATGAATTTTTTAAAAAATCATTAAAATTATATTCTACGTTAATGACTATTATATAATTTAATAATCCTTTTTTGCAATTATAATTTAACGTTTGAGGTAGATAAATTGATTCTTTCATTCTTTAACATGCATATCTTTGACAAAAAAATATGTTGTTTTGTGCTATAGTTAGATACCTTAGTTGCACATCGTTACATGTAAAATTATTAAAAACTTCTGTTTCACTGACGAGCACTTTTCTCAGTTTTAACTAAACATTTCATAAGTTGTTTTGTGCTATAGTTAGATACCTTAGTTGCACATCATTACATGTAAAATTATTAAAAATTTCTGTTTCACTGACGAGCACTTTTCTCAGTTTCAACTAAACATTCCCTAACTAAGATACGTGCATGTACAATACCACGCTTAATTTTTTCTATAGAAGTACGACTGCCAGCATAGGTAGGTCTAACCTCGTGGCCAAGTTCTTCTATGACATTAAGCAGTTGTATATATTTTGATTGACCAGGTACAGAAGGAACAGTTTGTTGTAGGGCTCTTGGGTTTGGTACACCGAGTAATGGCTCTGTAACCTTTGTTGAAACTTCTACATTTCCTCGTTCTTCTTCCATCTTGTAGCTGTCTTTTTTTTTAAATAAATATCCTAACAAATAATTTATGACTTGTACACGCTAGTTATAATAAGCTAGATAGCACACAGGACGACATTATAATGTATTAATTACACTTCGCAAAAAATGTTCATTTTTAATGATGAAACAGAAATAAATGTGCAAAAAAGTATAATGTATGAAATTGAAGGAAATCATGCGAAAAGACTTTAGTATAAAAGCAATAAGATAAAAATAAATATACATATAACCTTTTATAATTAAACATGTAATTATAGCTTGCATTTTATATGAAACTCACCTTAGTGAATAGACTAGTAAAATTTTACGCGGCAAATAAATATATAGAAATAAAAATTGAGCGTAATGCTCAATAAATTCTTAAATCTATTGATTTCAATGTTCCACCGCTTTTGTTCGCAGAACAACGTACATGTGCTCGTATCTGAAATTTAAACAGCGCTTCACGGAGAAACTGAGAACTACAGCAATATGTAGCACTAAATTCAAATGTCCTGTTACGAACATACAAATTCAATTTAAGGGTATAAAATCAATACACAATATTGTACAAAACTGTTTTTTTTTTTTATTTAGTTATACCTTGTAGTCAATAATATTCAAGGATTATACTTTCCATAGGTACATTTTGTTTGATCAATTTTTTTCTCTTGCATGTATACCGTAGGTAGTCACTAGGTGGTTACCCATTGTTTTAACCAAAAAATGCAATAATAAACTTTTCTTAGAAAATATAAATGAAGGCTCTTCACAGTGTAAATCGTCTCTGCCTAATATTACATTTTCTAATCGCTATTCGAAAACTTAATAGGAAGGGATAATTCCTTTATAATTTGTGTAGAAAATGGTCATTTTTACATTCTTCTTAATAAAAAATAATGAACTAAAACGAAGAACAAATTTTTTTCATCGCGTTTAATTTATATCCCATATTATGCGCTATTGATTGATTAATTTTCTTTAGGCATCCACAAAAGTGCATATTTTAAGTCATTTTATTAGTTATTGAAAGTGATTTTAAGGTGTACAGCTATTACTTTCTCAATCTTTCCATTGTTTAAAATAATTAGCTGCTTCCACTTTCTTCTTATTAAACATACAAACTAGTAAAATCGTATAAAATATGAAATAATAATTGTTATTGTGTATATGCACATTTTTGTGGATGCTAAGACACTCCCTTTAAAATATACTGCTGTACTTCATACAATGTACATAGTATTACTTTTTGTAAAATAATCGACTAAAAATCTAATTGCTAAGTATATCGGCAGATCATTGCCGTGCGTTGTGTTCCGTTTCCAATAGACATTCTCTTACAAGAATTCTAGCATGCTGAATTCCCATCTTCAGGCGTTCAGCTGCGCTACGACTTCCAGCATAAGAAAGACGAATGTCTCTACCAAGCTCTTCGATAATAACCAGTAACTGAGCATATTTACCCTGACCAGGCACAGTAGGGAAGTTTATTGTACTAGACGGGCTAGCCTGTGCTACTTGAACGGTTTGAACGTTTTGCAAATTTCTTGGATTTGGCACAGTGATCACAGGTTCAGGGATTCGTGGAATTTCTGGTACTTTTGGTGGTGGTGGTGGATCGTTTAGTTTCGTTATTGTTATTTCATTTAATTTAGCCAATTCTGTTAATTTTGCCATCTCTGCCATTTTCGAATATTCAGGCATCTTCGTGATGTCATTTTGCATATTTGCCATTTTGATCATCTCGTTCATTTTCGTCTTTTCATTCATCTTTGCAATTTCTTTAGCCATCTCATTAATTTGCGCAATTTCATTTAATTTCGTTATATCGTTATTATATTTCGCCATTTCCGTCATTTTTACCATTTCGTTGAGTTTAGCTATTTCGTTCATTCTTTGAACTTCGTTAATTTTCGCCATTTGCGACATTTTCATCATTTCGTTCATCTTCGCAATTTCGTTAATTTTTGTGATATCATTGTATTTGGCGATTTCTGAGAGCTTCACCATTTCGTTCATCTTGGCAATCTCCGACATTTTTGCAATTTCTTGCATCTTTATGTACTCTGTTGTTTTGGCATATTCTGCCATCTTTTCCATCTCGTATCTCTTAGCCATATCCTGAGACATTTTATTCAATTCAGTCATTTTGCTGAATTCAGCAAGTTGAGCCATTTGAACTATGTGTTCTGGTACTTTCCCCCTTTCCATCATCTGTTTCAATTCAGCTGAAATCTTGTTCATATTCATCTCTGACATTTGGGCTATCGCAGCTGCATCTGGTATTTTTGACAGTTCAGCAATCTTTGAAATTTCTCTTGCTAAATTTTCATCTAAGCAACGCTTCTTTTTAGCACGATGCCTGGCCATACGTTGAGCTTCCTGCATTCTTCTTATTGCTGCCTGCTCTTCCGTCTCCTTTGCTCTGGCGTTCTTCATTCTCTCAGCAGCAGTGTATAATCTAATGGCGCGTTCCTCGAACGTTTCTTCTCTCAACTTTTGTCGTCTATATTCACGCATTTCTCTTACCTTTTTGAGGTAAGATTTCTTCTTAGCCTTAGGCATAACATGCAACTACGCATAGTATGGGTGTTATCATCTGTGTAGCCTGTCATTTTTATCAATTTCAAATGCCAAACTTTTCAGAAAATATACTCTGTGCATGCGTTATTGGTTAACCTTGATTAATTTTGCCCTTTTTTCAATGTTTACACTAACTGTTCTTACATATTTCTTCATATAAAATAATCTTATACAAAGTAATCTTTTTCCTTCACTTTGGAAATTACCTGCAATGAAAAAAAGAAACCATGTGAAATTGGTTAGAATATATTTCTGACTAAACGTCTATCTATGAAGATAAAAATGCTCCATTTACATATTCTCAAGCGTAATAAATATTCTTGTCACTTATTCCTTTGCGTTTGAATACTACAATGTCGCGGCCTTTAATAAACGTTTGTAATATTTATAAACATTGCACAGAAACAGGTTCAACGGCAAAAATTTTTTTGTCACTAGGAAATAAAAGGATATCAATTTGGACGATCTCTCTCTCGAAACACTCTTCGTTCATTTACTGTGTAGAAAACGATCTATGCAAATATTAATCGGACCTAATCTAAAAAAGACGCGGGTCGTCAAGCTCGAAAAATATTTCACACAGCACGTGCGCAAAAATCAAACGGTCGGACACTGTTTTCGAAATACGTGTGCACGTAGCTGTTGTCATCATGCGTGTGAGTGCTCTCGGCTACCTGTGCCCCTGCGCGTCGATTTTGTGTGTGTATGTGTATGTGTGCGCGTGTGTCTCACCAAAATTCGAAAGAAGAGCGTCGTCAAGTAGCGCGCGACGCGCATGCGCGCCAATCTAAGAACGCCGTCTTCTCTGGAACGTTCACCAATCACAACAATGGCGGATACAATTCGGTCAGTTCACTGAAACGCACGATTAACCCGGTGCGAGGCTAAACCACGTCTTGAACTGATCCCATTTCACAACAGTATCTTCCTCATGGTAAAACGCATACGCCGCTGTTGTTTCTAGGCGAATCGATACGGTTTTTCTTAAGATATATCACAGACAAACGCACAAAAGCAATATCGGCCGACATGTAAGATTTTCGTTCGGAGCCACTTTAAGGGGCCAAGCGGGGTCGCCGATAGGCTGCGTGTGACGTGGTTGCGTTTATTGACCATAACCCCTTCCTACTCCCGTCTGCAACTTCACGACGGACAGGTGTACGACCTGAGAGGCCGCGAAACAATTGACCGAAACCGACAGCGTCTTAAAATACTCGACATTGTCTTCGAAGAATTCGCAAAGATGATCGGAATTGCCCGGCCGTCTCTACCAATAGCGATGCGATATGGCTCTTCTTTTTCCATCGATTACCAAAAATACTACGATCGTGTTTTCTTAAATCAAGGATATATTGTTCGACTTACGGTAAATCCTTTTCTCGCAATTCGAAAGACCGGTTTTCTTTGAGAGATGAGAATGTTTTGACGAGTTGTTTTTTTTCGGTTCTTCCAGACGAGACGAAGGTGAGACTCAGTCATTTGCTGAGAGAAGATATATACTTCATTTTTTTAATGAACTTCCATTGCCAAGCACTTTACAAATATTCCATGATAATTGAATGACTGAATGGCTTTTTTGGAACAATTAACTATGTAAAAATAATAGCGCTTTTGGATTCTATTATTTCCGCATTCGTCAATATGAACTTAGGTAATTGAATTTTAATTTTACTTTTGAAAAGTTATTTTATTTAATTATTTTATTTAATTATTTAAGCAAGGTTTTTACTTGTTTACATCTGAAATAATTTTTTTTATTTATTATTGTGAATTTATATATGCTTAGGTTAGTAATTTAACTGAGTAACGTGTTTTACTCTTAAAGAATTTTATTTTATTTAATTTGAGTAAGGAGATTTTTAGTTTTTTATATCTGAAGCAAATTTTTATGTATTATTTATATAGAGTATTATTGTTACTATGTTGATGAATTTCTTTTATTGTTAATCATCATATTGCATAGTATTTGTGTTCTACTCAGCAGTGAATTTAATTTTTTTTGTTTTACTATTTATTGATAGAAGAAAAATCTATAAACATAACATTCATGACTGTTACAATTGTCCAAATAGTAATATTGTAACATTGATTTCTACACAAAACTTAAATAAAATTTTAATAGGATAGTTTATCTATTTAGTTTATCATAACAAGTTACATTTATTTATATTTTGCTAATTACTGCTGTAAATTAATTTCTGTCTCCATTAAGCATTCCTTTATCAGCATCCTAGCTTTTATAATACCTAGTTTTAATCTCTCTATTGAAATTTTACTATCAGCGTATGTTAATTTAATGTCCCTCCCTAGTTCTTTAATGACTTTCAATAATTGGGAATATTTACTTTGTTTACAAGTTGAATATACAATTGATGAGTTTTGTATAGGGAAATATGTTTGAAATTGTTCCATTGTCTCCGTGGCAACAATGGAGTCAATAGTTTTGAATGTAATATCTCTTCTGTTTAATTCTGTTTTAAATAGCCTCACTTCCTCCAGAGCTTTCTTCTTTCTAGCTCGAAATCTTGCCATTCTTTGCGCATCGTGGAACCTTCGAATTATAGCCTCTTCTTCTGTTTCATGTGGCTTTATTAATGGTCTGCGCCCATTCCTTTTTCCTCGTTTTATTGAGTTATTCTGTCTATTCGTTTTCAAAGTACTCTTCTTTCTACTGCATTTATAATTGTTCGTTTTGTTCATTTTATACACAATGCCCTCATTCAATCACAATACAATACATTTTTATAATAATAATAATAATAATAATAATAATAGTAATAATTGTATACATCTAAAAAAAAA